CCACATGTAGGCATCTCTCGGGATAACTGGCACAAGCGCCGCAAGACCGGGGGCAAGAGAAAGCCCTACCACAAGAAGCGGAAGTATGAGCTGGGACGCCCCGCTGCCAACACTAAGGTGCGTGCGGGGCCCTCGTGTCCAGCGTAGTCTGGCCGCTGCGTGTGGTGGTGTAGGGCTCTGATTTGTCTAGGGGACTGGGCGGCCTCCTCACCTCTACGCGTTGGTCAAAGAGGTTGAGTGGAGACATGTCATGTATTAGGACTTGAAGGGCGCCTGGAGGGAGTGGGCTCGTCGGATGATAGTCAGAAACCTGGTATTTTTGTTGTTGCGTAGAGACTTAATTTTCAGTGTTTTGGAATCAGATTTTTCTTCTTGGAGGTAACTGGAGTGATGAAAAAGTATCCTTAGGTGTGGTTGTGGCCGTCTTGGCCACCTGTGTGCCACTTGCCAGTGCTAGGACTTGTCATAGTTACACTGACCGTTGCCTCCGTCCAGCCTAGGTTCCCTACCTTCTCTTGTCTTGCTCTCCTGGATAACCTAGTTCCTGTTTGTCTTTTGCAGATTGGCCCCCGCCGCATACACACAGTCCGAGTCCGGGGAGGCAATAAGAAGTACCGTGCCTTGAGGCTAGACGTGGGGAACTTCTCCTGGGGCTCTGAGTGTGAGTGAGGCCCTCCAGGAGTGGGTGGGAACTCCACACCTAAAATTTTCTAAGCTTCAGTAAGTGCTTTTAACAGAAGTCCGTGGCCTCCACCAAGATACTGAAGTTTCTCTTTGAAAGCTGTTAAGGTTGTGGTAGCTGGAGAATTCTCTCCATCCTGTTTTGTCTCAACTCCTATAACTGCAGGGATTGGGACTGAATCTAGACACTGTGTGGTTGCCAGTTATCTCTGGAAAGGTGGCTTTGTGGAAGATGAACTGACACCCCATAGCTGGGTAACAGACTAGAGTTCCCTTGCTGTTTCTTAGGCACTTTGAGGGGAAGATGTGGTGGTACGGGACAACAAGGCCATTTGCCTTCTGGTCTGTAAGACTTGATTCTGAAATTCTCCCGTGAGCAGGTTGTACGCGAAAAACAAGGATTATTGATGTTGTCTACAACGCATCCAACAACGAACTGGTCCGCACCAAGACCCTGGTGAAGAACTGTATTGTGCTCATTGACAGCACACCGTACCGACAGTGGTACGAGTCCCACTATGCACTGCCCCTGGGCCGCAAGAAGGGGGCCAAGCTGGTGCGTGTTTTGGGGGAGCCACCTTCACTGGGGGGGTGAGGGGAGGCCAGCCTCATTCCAGCCTTCTTATGATGAAAACTGCGTCCAGTTCTGCTACTGAAGGGAAAGAGATGAAAGCTTTTAGTGCTGAGGAAGGCAGCAGGGATTGGGATGTACAGGGCCCAAGGCTGTGGGGACATTCCTTCCCTGAGCCAGGGCCTGGGGAGCCCCAGCTAACCCATCTATCTCCTTTATTCAGACGCCTGAGGAGGAAGAGATTTTAAACAAAAAACGATCAAAGAAAATTCAGAAGAAATACGATGAAAGGAAGAAGAATGCCAAAATCAGCAGTCTTCTGGAGGAGCAATTCCAGCAGGGCAAACTTCTTGGTAAGACGGCTGTTGCATTGGGGGGTTGGGTCACAAGATACAGTGTGCCCTTTGCATTTTATTCTTGCCCCTTGTTCTTTTAACTGCCTGCCAGCTGTGTGGTAGAGGCTTCACTAGGAGAGTCGATGACCGCATACAAGCACAACTCAGAACTTGTGGTCATCCCATTAGCCTGAAGCTGAAATGGGAAATAGGGGGCAGGAGTCCATAGGCCTCAGCTTGGCCTCTGCCTCTAACTTCCAGAAGTATTTTGAGAAGTCTATGTGTGGGCTGAGGGGGCTGTCTCGGTGATGAAAACTTTGTCCAGTTCTGCTACTGACTTAGAGTGACGATAAAGTGTATCTGAGGAGACACTGGGCTTCAAGCCTGCCCCCAGGATACCTGAACCAACATGGACTTCCTTAGGAGAAACCTAGGTTTGGGTAGGGCCGCACTCTTATTTTGCTAATGAATGCATACTATCTTGCAGCGTGCATTGCTTCAAGACCAGGCCAATGTGGCCGAGCAGATGGCTACGTGCTAGAGGGCAAGGAGCTAGAGTTCTATCTGAGGAAAATCAAAGCCCGGAAAGGCAAATAAATCTTCCTCCTACCTTTGGTCATGTAATAAAGGTGTTTATTGTCCTGTCCTGTGTTCACGTGTGAATATCCAGTTGCTCGGCACGCTCTCACTGAAGGCCAGTCTTAGATATGGGCTGTGCCTTTATATAGCTGAGGGAACATTTCTCACCCCAAAGGCTAGTGTTCAGTGGGAAACAGGGGTGTGGCATGCAGGGCAAGCATAGATTGTATGAGGAGTTATCCCAGCACTGGGCCCCCAGTATTACTGGGGTATTGATTGGAACCTGAAGCCATGCTGCCTCTGTGAATTTGGCTCTTTGAGAGATCCTGTACCCTCTTCCTGTGTGAACCTTGGTTTTAAGGTTTTAGCTTGAAGTTTTCAGCCTGGGTTCATGGATGGCCTAAAAACCCTGAAATTGGGTTCCAAATTTTTTTGGTATTGTTGATAGCAAGTTGTACACATTTACGTATCCTGTCAGCTTTTGGATGTCTTTTTGAAGTTAATTTTCTCTTCAACCCTAATCCCTTCCCCCCTCACTACTCAAGTGTGTGAGATAACCAGTGATTTCTGCATTGCTAAATCTGCAAGGGTCAGCTCTTTGTTTTCAGGTTGGCTACATTGTCTGCTCTTGGTATGAAATGTAGTTTGTGCTGCATTTTTTTTTTAACTTTAACCCAAACCTACTTAACACCTGCACTTGGATATCATAATTGGACTCTCAAAGGTGAACATGTGAAAAACTGGTAACATTCCTCAGCTTTCCCTTTTCAAATAGTTTCTCAGCTATTTGATTATAGCAAATTGTTGCCTTTATACAGCTGCTTAAATCAAAATCTTGGGTCATTCTGCCCTTAGACTCTAGCGTCTAAAGTCCCCAAATCTTGTTGGTTCAACCTTTAACACCACCTCTACCTCCTGACCACTCTTGCAAATAGCACTGAAGGTTTCTCTTGTCCCCGACAGTCCTAGCAATAGTGATCAATGGGGTTTTGACGAGACAGCTTCCCATCTCAGAAGCCTTACCAAACACCCAAACACTATGGAACTCAACGTGACCTGGTCCCTTTTTCTACAGTGCTAGTCATCCTGGCCTTACTGAGCACGTGTTCACTTGCTAGTTCATTTGTTGGGAACATTTTCCTTCACATACCCACATGGCTTACTCTTCAGGTCTTAGACCTTAGTGAGTTTCTCCCTGATAATTTTAAATTATAGTCCCTTCTGTGCTGTTAATCTTTTGCCCCAGCTTTTTCTCCTTATCCCTTAGTTGGGCATAAGTTTTGCTCATTTTCCTTTTTGTCCGGTTAGAATAGGACTCCACGGGAACAGGTATGTTTCCTGCTCTGTCTCCAGTACCTGGAAGTGCATGGCAACATACCAAGCACTCAAATGTGCTAAATTAATTTAAAAAAGAAAAAAAAAGATTTTATCCAAGTTGAAGATGATGGAAATACAAGCATAACATAAGAGCCAAGAAATGAAAATCCAATTGGTTCATTAGCTTAGCTAAATGGCAGAGTTCTGTGAATAGACAATAGGGAAAGAGGAACTAGGAGATGACCCCTCCCTTTTGAGTACAAAAACTTTAGGACATACAAAAAGCAACCCAGCCTTCTCAAACCTTACCATTGGCTCTGGGAGGCCTATACCCCACTTTTCCTTCCATCCAGTGGTTATCTTAATGCAGCACCATGATTTCAGCTGTTGTTTACAGTATGGGTCAGTTGTAGCAAAGCCACACTAGACACTTTGCCTTTATTTCCTAATTTGAGCTCTACAAGATTATATCTCCCCTTCACTTCTACCTCTAATCTGTGACTAGAACCAGTGTGTTTAGTCTTGGATTCATCCACTATTCATTCCCAAAGCCTTCAGCTGACCATTCTTGCCCTGAAGCAAGGCTAACTCCTGCTAACCCTATGAAAAACTTCAGACACCTACATGAATGGCTATGTTGGGGTGCTTTTGTCTCTAGACTTTGAGATCTAGGCTTAGGTAGCCTGTAACCCATGGGGGCCCAGCAGGAAAGTAGCAAAGCCAGCCTCAGATGTCCAGATGTCAGAGGCTGCGCTCAACCTCGACTACACCCTTGTTTCTTCCCTCCGAGTCCTGTCATCAGTCCCATCCTTTGATCTTAAGACTCCGTTTTGGCAGTCACCAATTTCCTTGGTGGGGGCTGAACTTGCAGCGCGGAGCTCAGTTCAGTCAACACGATCTGTGCTCCATGAGGCTGGTTCCCCCCCAACGCTGCAGGCCCACCACAGAGCCAGACTCGCAGCTTTCACCCCATAAATCATGCTTTCTCCTGTTCAGCTGGTGGGAGCAGAAAAGGGTGAGGCACTCAGAAGTCCAAACGCCCACCCAAGGTCTAGGCTGGGTGGTGTACAACTGCCTTCACATCTGAGTTGGATCAGCCTCCAGGACAGATCCCCAAGCTTTTACCATATTATCTTTATCCCACTTCACAGCATGCCAACTTAAACAACTGTAATTGCACAAGTAATAAACGATTATATTCTCATTGTAAATAAAAAGTTGAGTATTACAGATAAAGCAAAAGTTCCCCAGCACACACACTCTGATCCCTCTTCAGAGTAAGATTACCAGGGTAAGGTATATCCTCAACATCTTTTTATAAAGGACTCAAATTGTGATGCCTGGACCAGCAGCAGCACCATCACCTGGGAACTTCCCTAAAAATGCAAATTCTTGAGTTCCATCCCAGATCTAATGAATCAGAAGCTCTGGGAGTGGCACCCGGAACTATTCTGAACAGGCCCTTTAGTGCTGCTGATGCTCCCGCAGGTTTGAGACCGCGCCCAGCAACCTATTGCCCAGGAAATTAACAATGCATCTGGGTTCTTGTTCCCTAGGCCCTGCCCATTTACCCCAGCCTCACCTTCCCCAAGCAAGCCATCCTACCTTCTGCCAAAATGGGCATATTCCCAGCCCCAACGCCGGCCCCGCCATCTTGCCCCTTCAAGGTCCGTCCCTGAATTCTCCTGCTCAGGAAACAGCAAGCGACACAGCAAGCGCTCTAATAGCGCTGGAGGTCAGCAGGGGGTTGGGAAAGTGAGCCGAGGTAGGCCTGGGGCAGGCAGGCAGGACGGCCTGTGCCTGGCAGCCTCCAATCAGGGCTCCCCGGCCTCGTCCTCTGACCGCACTGACGCCTCCTCAATGCGGTCCGCGGCCTCGGGGTCACCACTCTCCTCCGCTCGTAAGCGCAGCACATGCGGGTTCCAGGGGGTTCCTCGCACGCGGCCGAAGGTCCTGAGGCTGATGGCCGGGGAGGGTGCTCCTGCAGCCAGGAAGCGGCCGAGCAGCGGGGTCTGCGTGGCAGGCAGCGGTCGAGCGGACCCTGGGGACGCCTCCACCTGCACGCTCTGCTCGGGGTCGTCGCTCATGCTGCGGGTGGGAAGGTGGGCTGAGCGAGCCTGGCGCCAGGGCCACCCCAGGGCTGGCTTTCCCAAGAGGGTGGGGAGCAGAGGCAACGGAGTCATTGGCGCCCCCAGAGCGGTGGTGAGGACCTGGGGTCAAGCCCTGCCTCCACCAGCGCAGGCCGCTCACCGAAGGTTGAAGGTGGAGCCCAGGAAGGAAGGCCGCAGAGCCTCGGCCGCCGTGGCCACCGTGTAGGGCGGCTGCGCGGAGTCCTCGTCCCAGTACAGGTCTTTCTCGGCGGGAGGCAGGTTCTGGTACATGTCGTCCACGGATAACAGAGACACCTGGGGCAGGCAGCAAGCCATGAGGATCCCCCTGTCTCCTCTCCACATCCAGGCCCAGCACTGGCAAGGAGGAAAGCACAAGGCACTGCCCTCAGACCCCTGCCCACCTGCAAGTTGCGGTCTATGAGCTGGTTGGTCTCAAAGTCATCATCATCCTCACCAAAGGGGTTGATAATCTGTTCGGCCACCTACAGGTTGTAAGACAGTGTTTTCTGGGCTCAGAGCCCTATTCTCTGTCCTGAAAGGTGAGGTGGGCCCTGGGCCCACATCTCTACAGAGCAAGCTGGTATGACCGGGCTATGTGCCCACCTTGAGCCAGCCAGCATAGAAGAAGAACTGCAGCAGAGTAGTGAGAGGCACATACATGTCCAGGTCCCCCATGGTGGACGCTGCCTCCTGGCCTGGCTCTAAAGGCTCCTGAGGTTTAGCCCGCCCTGCCTCAGGCTCCACGAACTGGCGGCCAACCAGGGAGAGGGCAAAGAAGGAATATACCGCTATGGTCACCACCTGGAGAAGGAAGCCTGGCTGAGTAAGACAGGGAGAAATGCCCTCCGTGACCCTGAGGGCCAGTGAGGGAATCTGACAAGGAAGTAAAACGTGTGGCAGCATCAGAGGGGATGGGGGCGTCTGGGGGGTGGTCTGGGGATGCTCTGAGGATGAGCCCTTGGTGGTTCAGTGTCTCTCTGGACTGCACTGCCCCAGGGCAGGTACCATCTTTAATTCTCCGTGTCACATGCAGCACAGGACATGCAGTAGGCAGTGGGACGGGAGAGGGGAGAGGCAGTTACTTGGGTGTAGACGAGAGGGATGCTGATCCAGTCATAGTGGAATAGCATGCTGCATTTGGCCCGGTACTTGTTCAGCTCCTGGGGGAAAAGCAGGAAGATGTCGGTGGAGGAGAGGAGGGAAGAATGGAGAAAGAACAGGGGAACCCAACACAAACTCGGCCTAGAGGCCCATTCTGCTGTCAGGGATGTTATCGTGCGGGGGTGGCGTGATGGGAAGCAGCCTAGCAAAATAGCTGTGAGCACAGACTGTGGATCCAGCCTGAGTCCCAGCTCCCCTGACTAGCTGTGTGACTTGGGCAAGTTTCTTTTCCACTCTGTGCCTCAGGTTTTCGCCTGTGAAAGAGGGATGGTAATGATGTCCCAAGGGCTGTTGTGCAGGCCAAATGAGTTAATGTATGTACAGTGCTTCCAACTGTGTGCTGTACACAGTTGTTGGCACCATCTAAGTGCTAAGTACTAAAATTATTATTCCAGTTTGCAAAGCCAAGGAGGTCAGACAGGCCTGGTCTGGAGCCAACTCACTTCCAGGAGCAGACAGAGAGCAATGTCATCACGGATCCGCCCATCCCTCCGGGCCTGGGCGGCCAGGTTGGTAAACCAGACACAGGGGATCCAGTACTTGTTGAAATCGGATTTCAGGCTCTCAAACTTTTTCCTCTCTTCCTGGGACATGAAACCTGAGGAGATACAGTGAGTGGGGGCGCAGACACCTCCCTTGCCGCTAGGACGTGCCCCTCGGGGGTTTGACCTCCCCTCCCAGGAGGCCCATGTTCTGGTCCTGGCCCCCGGGGGGCCGCCCCCGGGCTCCCCAGCGTGGCACCTGCGTTGGCCAGGCTGAGCGCGGGGGCGCCTGTCCGCACCTGCGTCCACCACGTGCTCCATGGTGGGGAAGCGCTTGAGCACGCGGGTGCTGACCGAGCGCAGCACCAGCACGGATGCCAGGTTGGCATAGCGGATGAGGGTGCGGCGCAGCAGGCGACCACGCTGGTCTACGCCATGCACGCTGGCCGAGATGACGCACATCAGCTGGTCTGGCAGCGGGATGCTTGTATACTGGGCCCACCAGCGGTTCACCACCAGGGTCACGTAGAAACCTGATCAGCCGCCATGGAAGCAGAGACAGGAAGGAAAGATGGAGAGCCCGGGAGTCAGCATGCCCTGCCCCCCAGCCGGAGCACCTGGTCCAGGCGAGGCTGAACCAAAGCAGGGAGAAGGACACCTTTGGCTTCCGTGTCCTGCCTGGCTGTCAGGGGGAACGCCTCTTCGTAAAGCCTCTGCCTTGCTAAGCCAGGCTTGGAGGATGGAGGAGTGCAAACCTCCTCCTGCAGAGAAGTGGTCAAGTAATGGCTAATTCTGAGCCCTGCTTCCCATGAAGGTGGAAAGGGGGTGTCACCTCTCTCCAGCTCCTCTCCAGGACACAGAGTGGGATTTTGAAGCCAGCAGGTGTCTTATCCCTTGGTGGAGTGAGGGTCCAACAAGTGACAGGCAGGGTCTAGCTGTCTGGAAATCCTGGACCCCGGACGCAAGTCCCATGCCTGCTGAGCCTGCTCTGGTTGACCTGTAGGCTGTGCTGCTGGGGTAACTTTGACCCTCGGAGCTATCACCTCAACCCAAAGGTCAGGGAAGATGGTCAGAAGGATACCAGGAAGAATTAGAGGGAGCCTTACCCAGTACAAAGGATAAGGGGATGAGATCTGCAGAACGATTACAGTATCGGGCCACCTGAGCATACACATGCCTCTGCTCCTGGGTCAGCAGGAGCCTGGGGAAGGTCCGTTGTAAGCCTGGGTTAGAGGGAAGTGGGCAGCCGAGCGCCCACCCCACCCCAGGCCAGCCCTGAGACCTCACCGGTAGATGATGCTGAGCAGAGCATACAGGGCAATGAAGAGGAGGAATTCTTTGTAGAGGAGCTTGTAGATGCTTCCCCTCCAGCGGAGAAGCAAGCTGGAGAAGCCTCCGAAGCGAGCCTCTGCCACTTTGAGGGTATATGAAACCGTCATGGTGCTGGGGTCCTGGGTGGGAGGTCACATGAGCTGCCCCCAGAGCTGTCCCTCTTTCCCAGCAAACCTTTTCCATAGCTTGCCCAGGCACCCTCCCTTCAACTCTGGTCACACACACCCAGCCTTCACCCTGTGTCAGTAGACGAGGGGAAGAAGCTTCAGAGCAGACAAAGCACCCCCCCCACCCCCTCCGGAACTCAGTGGTACGTGGATCAAGCCAGGACGGGATGGGCCTAGGGGAGCTTAGATCTATAAGCTCTCATGCAAGAGCCTTCCCCGAGATCCTCTTCCACTCGCAGGGCCAGAAGGAACCAGATCACAACTCCTGAGGACAGAAGATCCAACTCTTGCCCAAACCTACTATACTACCCGCTGGGGTCTTGCTGACAGCTGCTCTCCCAAGGCCCCGGGTACTGCCACCTCCCAGTGACACCGGCCTACCTGCTCTGGGCAGCGGCCCGCGCTGAGGAAGCAGAACTGGACTAGCCCACACACCGCATGCACTTAAATATCTGCTGGACCCATAAAGCTTAGCTGGCCTGAGGTTGTCATTGATGGATTGAGGCTGTCACCCAGCTTCCCCTGGTCCTGGGAACTAGATGTGTCTCCCTACCCCTGCAGGGCTGGGCTAGGCTTTGGGTGGCAGAAGTGCCATCTGCACTGACCCTACAACTCACACACATGACGTCATGTCCTTGAAACCAGGTTGGCTGGGATTACTGTCCCACGCTCCAGGTGAGAAGACAGACGCATGATGATAAATTGTTATAATCCTAACAGCTACTGATCACAGAGCACTGACTGAGGACACTGTGCCAAAGGCACTGCTATATCAGCGTCTCATGGAATCCTCATCTCAACTCCATGGGGCAGGAAACATCCCCATTTACAGATGAGGCTCCAAGAGGTAAATGACCTTGTTCAAGGTCATCGAAGGCAGGATTCGAAGCCTGAGTTGATGGACTTGGTGGGTGGAGCTTGTAAATAAAACAGCCAGTTATTTTACCAGCAAAACGGGCTTATTCAAAAACAGAGGAATTGCAACTCAGGATATGCGGATATGCAAGCTACAGAAAAACCCTAGGCAAGTCCAGAGAACAAAGAAGGGGAATGTTATATAGAGGAAAGAAAAGGGAAGTTGAGTGGGAGCTACTTTGAGCAAAAGTCCACTGGAGGTTGGTGATGTTTTCTCATTGGCTGAGTTGTGACAACTTCTCATTGGCTGGACTCTTGCTCTACAAGGAAAAAGTCTTTCTCCCTCTTGCAGGGGGTAGTAAAGTAGGTCCTTTCCAGTTGGAAAATGCAAGGTATGCTTCTTCCTGTTGGGGTCTGCAATTGAGGACAAATTGGTAGTGTGTGAGAACTCCCCCCATTCTGGCGACCGGATTCTATTTTAAATGTTTCCTTTGTTCAGTTTCACAACTCCAAAGGCTGGAAGTGGCCCAGTTGGGGCTAAACAAGGGCTTGAGCCCTGGGACCAGGGTCCTGTGCACTGACCACACAGCTAGGCTTCTGGTCCAGGCTCTGGGGGGCTTCGCTTGACCATTCCCCATCCCTATTCCACAGCACTGACAAGGCCACAGGTCTGGGACTCAGGCCTAGGGATGCAGACCTCCCTCAGCCCTGTGTCCAGCATCTTGACTCCTAAGGGTATCTAGCATCCTGAGTGGCCATTTCTGCTTCTAGGCCTCAGTTTCTTCCTCTTTCAAAGAGAGGAAATAATATTTGAGGCACCAGCTCAATTACCTACCCAGTGCTGAGATCACCCACAAAACCCCAGGAGTGGTGGTCCCACTTCTGACCTGTTTTGGGAAGCTCTTTCCCCCCACACTGTGAGCTGATTCTCACTCGCAAGCGTTTCCTAAAGACAGGAAGCATGGAGAGGTGGTAGGAGCAAAAGCTTGGGAGTCAGACAAACCTGGGTTTGAATTCTAGCTCTCTGTAGCCTTATACAAGTTACCTCATCTCTCTGAACCTCAGTTTCCTCCTCTCCAAAACAAAATCAATAACACCTTCCACACAGGGCAATTGGGATGATTCAAAGAAACAGTATCCAGAGTCTGGAGCACTGCAGGCATTTAGCCTGGGCTGCTATTACCACGAAGAGCCAAGTCTGTTCCCTTTAGTTTCCACTTACTCCTTCGCAGATGAAGAGGCAGAGACCTTTCCCCTGAAGCCTTTCCTGCCTGTCCCCAAGCCAAACAGTGCCAGGTCCTGGCTTTTCAATAGGGTACTCAAGGCATTCTGAGATGCTCCCACCTCTGCTCCCATCACCAGCCTCTGGCCTAGCTCCTTTTCACTGCTTCTGCAAGGTCCGGCTCAGAGCGTCCTCAGGGAAGCTTTCCATGATCTTCCCCCTGCCTCCTCCCTCCAGGTTTCCTGTCTTACAGCAGCAAATCGCACTGGGCAGTGACCTGTCTGCGGGGCTCATCTGCCCTCCAGCCCGTGTGGCCCTTGAGGACAGGATTGTATCTGACTCATCTCAATAGAGCTGGGGAGAACTTGAGCCCAGGCAAGCTTTGCTTTGCTTTTCCTTTCTTTTCTTTCTTTTTAGTTTTTTCCCTTTTCACCTGAAAGACATCTGGCCCTCCTTTCCCTTTTTTTCTGAGAAACCTCCTGGATGAACAAGGTCTGGAAAACTACTCATGGCCAGAAGAGTCATGTTCTCTTTCTGGGCCCCAGGTGAGCCAGGTGAGATGTCAATATGAGGAAAGAACTGGACTGTGTGTGTGTGTGTGTGCGTGCGTGTGCATGTGTCTCAGAGGTCTGGAAGACCCAGGACCTCTCCCCTGGGGAGGGTGAGATACCGCTCTGGGGCCTCAGCCATCATGGCTGTGCAACCCATCCCAAGCTCTGGTCTGTGGCTTTTCTAGAGCATTCTGGGCTGCATGCCACTTAAAGAGTCTTGTACCTGGGGGGCCAGGCCTGGGACTGGAGGAGCTTAGGCCCTGAGATCCTGGGAGCTTCCTTGAGGACAACCCAGGCTGCTGCATTTCACTCATCGCCCCCCATCTGCTTTTGTGGCCCTCACCCTCCTGCCTGTTACCAACACTCTGGATCACCGGGCTGCGAGCTTCCCACAGAACCATGTGATAAAGGTACAGGACTCGAAGCCTCACTCCAGGAAGGGGAGTCCGCAGTCCCCACCCAGCCCTTCCCTCCTGAGTCACCTTATCTCCCTTCCCAACTGCTGACAGGTCCCTTTGGTTTATGGTCCAGGAGAGGGAACCACTCCACCTGTAAATCATTTGCTCCACCCTTTATCTGTCCTCCAGTTCTTGCCTCTCAGTCTCTTCTGGTCCTAACCGCCCATGGCCCTCTCCCCTCCTCACAGCCCGGAGTTGGCTCTATGGCTTGGCAGTTTACAGCATGGAGTCTGGGAGCCAGACTGCCCAGATTTTCAAATCTGAACACTGTGAATTACCTTTGTGACCTTGGGCAAAACGTTAAACATTTCTGTGTTTAAGTTCCCCATAGGGAAATAGGATAATACCTTTCTCATAGAGTTGTGAATAATGAATGAATTAATATTTATAAAGTGCTCAGAATAGCACATGGTAAGTATGAAACGCTACTGTAGCTAGAGCATCTCTCTGGTTTGGCTTTAGTACTTCTGCCTCTGCACCCACCAAAGACACCTGAGATCTCATTGCTGATTCCAACGGCCCCCTCCCAAGTTCTACCCTTACTTGGCAGCTCTCAATTTTTTTTTTTTTAATTTCAGATAGGCTCCCCATCCAATGTGGGTCTCAAACTCACAACCCTGAGATTAAGAGTCACATGCTGTACTGACTGAGGCAGCCAGGCGCCCCTTGGCAGCTGTCACTCTTCAAAGACTCCCTTGACCTCAGTGACCTGACACTGTCAAGAGATTCTGATTCTTTTTTTTTTTTTAAGATTTTATTTATTTATTCATGAGAGACAGAGAGAAAGAGAGAGAGAGGCAGAGGGAGAAGCAGGCTCCCAAGGAACAGGGAGCCCAATGCGGGACTCGATCCCAGGACCCTGGGATCATGACCTGAGCCAAAGGCAGACGCCTAACCATCTGAGCCACCCAGGCGCCCAAGAGATTCTGATTCTGAGAGGTGCCTGGGTGGCTCAGTGGGTTAAGCATCTGACTCTTTTTTTTTTTTAAGATTTTATTTATTTCAGAAGGGGAGGGGCAGAGGGAGAGGGAGAGGGAGAGAATCTCCAGCAGACTCACCACTGAGCATGGGGCCCGACACGGGGCTCAATCCCACGACCCTGAGACCAAACCTGAGCCGAAATCAAGAGTCGGATGCTTAACCCACTGAGCCACCCAGGCGCTCTGCATTGGGCTCTGTGGTCAGCACGGAGTCTGCTGGAGATTCT